ATAATAATAATAATAATAATAATAATAATAATAATAATAATAATAATAACAATAATAATGATAATAATAGTAATAATAATAATAATAATAATAAAGTAATAGTGAAAGGATCACAAAATTTCTGTGAATTAATAAGCGGAAAGTAACAAATTAATTGGATACTTTCATTATTTAAAACTGTAAAAAGGTCAGCTTGGTTTAGAATTTTGTGGATCAGTTGTCATTATGTTCCACTTAGTATTTTTATTCCAAGTTTTAGTTTGTATGCATTTGCTGAGGGATCAGATATGAATTGATAAATAATGAAATTTTGCTTATGTGCATTTTGTCTCAGAAAATATGCTACAGTTGTGGAGAATAAGCAGCGATTTTCTAATTACCGTCTTCAAATAGATTAATAGAAGGCATATTTATTAAAAGTCCAATGTTTCGTGTATTTTAGAGACGATTTCGATGTTGCGAATAGATCCGGATCATTAATGAAAACAGATTCCGATGAAGTAATTTCTTTTAATGATGATGAATCTACGAGCTTTGTTGACTATCAATAGAAAAATGCTCAATATTTTTTACTTTATGATAGTTGTCAATAATACATTAATTATTTCGACTTCTTTCTCCTTCTTATGATATTAAAACATGACATTAATTACGATTTATGACTGATACGAATTTTTGATTGCCTAAATGATATATACTAATAAAAAAAATACTGGTTTCAGGGATGTTATTCGGGCGAAGGTGGTCTGACAAATGGTAATAATGATGCTGATGAAGAAGTGTCGAGCTTTTTTGCAAATCAAATTCTAGGCAGCATTTCTAGATTACTCAGTGCAAACAATCCAGCAGGTATCTTACTTTCTGCCGTATTTCATAGAATTGCAATGTGTTTTAATTTTTCCAGTGGATCGAAAGGTGATGTTTTTCCCGTTGTTATCAACCGCAAACAATTAGCGTATCATTTATGTCGAATGATCCATTTTCAGATAAACCATTTGATTATATGTGATTATGTTTGATTGTATTCTGATCTATTATTATTGAAAAATTTAGATGGGAAACGTATCGCCTCTACAGTCGATAACAGTTCTGAGAGTGATGAAATGCCAAGCGTTTTTGAGAATATATTCAGTGAGCACGTTGAGGTCAAATCTTTCATTGTAATTCTGTTAATTAAGGGCTGATCAATATGATGTTGTTGAGAATTTATAGATTTTATGTGAGGATTCACTAATTTCTATGACCCACTGCTACTGTGCAAATTACTGTTTTTTATATCAAGTTAGACTTAATTCAGATCCATTATTCCAGAGCCCGTTTAATGAAACAGGAGTGAATGATTTAGATGGACCAAAAGCAAAGAAAGCACGCGATGATTTGGGCAATGCAAGAGGTATTCTTTATATTAAATATAATTTCTTGTATGAATTAGCTAATATATTGACCAGTAACTTAACTTGATACAACTTTCCCACTTATTTCCTTTTTTGTATCATGCTTAATGCGGTTTAATAAATGGAAAACAATTTATCTCCTGATTTCTAATCGCGTCTTGACATATATAATCTTGGCAAAAAAAAAATCGCAAACATGTTCAATAATATAACAATCCTGCATGCCATTAGAAAGTTGTACTTCAGGATTTTTTTGTATAAAGTCTTAGTACTAGCTTTGTGATATTCTTTCAATACATGTTTAGAAGATTGGCCGACGAAGGAATCGGGAAGTAGTATGACAATTCCAATGCCGATGTGTATCCGTTTAGTAGAATTGTACAGAAGATGTCGAGGTTGTTTTTTTTTTATTTTTTTGATGAACTATAGGAAGAATCTTGATATTTTGTTCGGGTATCTCTTTTGCAATTCCATGCTGTCATGGAGGATTATAAATCACGTTTCTTCAAAATTTATCATATTTAATGAAGTTTTTGAAGTCAAATATTGAAATTTGAATTGAAATTGTATATTGCATATTGATAACAACATTTTCTAGCATTCCTACGAACATTTAGTCAGAAAAAGGAAGACCGTAAAGCACGTCATCAAATGTGGGATGCAATTGATGCTCGCCTTTATGAGGAATTTGGAATTCATTCTGGCGTGAACAGATTAAAAAAAAAAATACAGAATATACAGGCTGGGGCTCGAGGGAAAATTGAAGCTCTTCGGCAAGTATATTCATAAAGGATTTACTGAATATTGTTTTGTTATGAAGACAAAAAAAAAAGAATTTTTCGATTTGAAGCCCTTATTTCTCCAATTTTTCAGACGAGAAACGAGTAGTGGTATAATACCACAAGATACGAATATTAGATTCACTCCAGCAGAAATGGAAATGGTTCGAATGCTCTATCAAAATGGCGATAAAGTGCTGAATACGGTAAATGAAAACAATGAGCCTTTTTATATGCAACTGGAAGCGCTGATGCGACGTGAAAATAATGAAAAGAAAATCCAGTTGCATGAAAATGGACACATAGGTGTGTTATTTTTTCTCGTTGGTGTACCTTGGCATTCAGCACTAAATATAGTTGTTTTCATTCAAATGCTCTGTAAGTAATTGGTTTTCGACAATATACAAGTCCATAGTAGTTCCACTTTTTCTTTCATTGATAGGTAATCTGTAATCTGTTTTGAATCATCCTGCATTTCATTACATTGCGATATAGTTTCGGGATTTAGTATTAGGAGAAATTAGAGGGAAAATTCGTGAAGAAGTCACTTTGAAGAGTTAGAAAAACTTTACCAAACTTTTAGTTTGCTTCTTCTCACTTAACGTACTTCCAGAAAGATCGCCACCTTCATCAAATGCAAAATCAATGATCTATCCACAACTGTTAATCACCCAAGCTACTCAAAATGGTATATTTTTATAAATTTCTTTCCTATTTTCTAATTCTGATTTTTGTCATTTTGACTTTTGAAAATAATTTTGTACCTTAATATGTTTTTGATTCAAAAAATCAGATTTCGTTTGCTTACACTGAATTCAATCGAAGAATGCGAAGTGATACAGTGTTGATAATACTTGCTAACAATTGATTTTGTTTATTTTATAGGTGTTGAATTCTTTTTAGATATTCAGTGGAATGATTCAGATTTTAAGTATATATTATAATTCAATAATGTTTTATTTTTGTATGCTAGTTCTATATGAAATTGTTCGTTTCTTACAATACATGCACTTTTATAATGGAATTATTTCCAAAGACAACAATTTCCCTATAATCCTTCGATTAGTTGTTAGTGACTACAAAATAGGTCATTGTCTAGAAGGCTACGCATTCTTCTAAGTGCTCGTTCAATATTGTTAGATAAGGACAAGATGATGTCGAAGTAAAATTTATTTCGAGGAAAACGCATTGAAAAATTCAAGTGTTAGACATATCGTTATTTGTGTTCAGGTAATAAGAAGCATATGTCACATGTTACCAAAGAGTCACCGGCATTGTTCAACAGCGTAAGTTGTATAGCAGAACCAAAAAATTCTCCGGTAGGCAACTTGATTCATTGGTTTTGACCTGTTTTTGTCATCTTTGATATTTAGCATTTTTGCATCGTTCGACATTTACATGACCATATATAAGATATAGCTTTATTTTGACTTCTTTGGTGCTAGCTACAAACTATCCTGTCTAATTCTTCCGCTGATTAAATTTCGTGCTGCATTTGGTAATTTCATCTTAGGTAGTTTAATAATTCAAAAAGTTGTTGAATTTCAAGTTTGAAACAGTAATGTTTCGTAATTATGGAATAATTAGATTAGTTTAATACGAAAACTTTTAATAAAATTAAAACATTCAATATGTATATATTTTAGATTGTAAGTTTATTTTCCAAACCGTTTGATGTTCTTTCCGCTGCTGCGCATTTCCCTAAAACGGATCCAGTTCCAAGCAGTAATGGAGGACATGAATTAGCAGTTATGACTGAATTGATTACA